AATGAACTCAGGAAACACAAGAACTGTAGTGGACATAGTGGGTTATGTAAGCACCTTAACTGGAAATTTTAGGAAAGGGATTTTTTTCATAGTAATGCTGAGACTGACCAAGAAATGATGGTCTCAGACACAAAGAAGAATAACATAAAACTGGGGTCACATTCAACAGGAATTGCTTAATAGACCAATATTATGTTTAGATTGAACTCAATAGGGTTTACTTTGGAATATAATTGCACAGGAGTGCACAGTAAAGCTGAAATTCTACACCCATTCACCTGGGTTTAAGCTCCATTGAATTCAGTGGAATTTACGGCTGTATAAACAGGTAAAGGATTGCACTGCTGATCTTTTATTTTTAGCTCTGAAAATACCTCCACATGTGTGTCTGTGTATAGCTTATTCGAAAGATAACATTAAAATGTTCTTTCTATCTGTGAAATCTAATAATTCTAAATCTGCATTGCAAATATGTCCAAAAAACTTACTTAGCTTTTACACAATTTTTTTCTAGTTTCTCTACCCACTCAAATGTATGCTAGTTATTTGTGACCCAGAAGTAAGGCACTAAACTTTGTTTAAACATTTGCTGTCATATCACCTGACACGTTTTGTATTCATAATAGGTAACCTGATACATAGACATTTATAATCTTGTTCAAAACATATTTCAAGTAGCTGAGTTGCAGTTTATCTGAAAACAATGCAAAATACTATGCCTATACTGTAAAAATGAATATACATGAGGATATAACAAACATTATCAAGAAAATACCTAATTTGTGGTATTTCAGATAGCTTCAAAATATTTATTGATACTAATATTGTAGTGTCTTAACCCACAATCATACGAGCACTTTCATGAGAAGAACCTTTTGAACACAGTGGAATTTACTTCTGAGTAAGCAGGTCTACAACTGTCCTATTATTAACATTTAGGTTTGGTTAACAAGTGCAGAGATTGAAATCACATCCATTAGCTCTGTTCTGCTGGCCTCAGTGCAATGATGAAATGTTGCCTACAGAATTTATATGTAATCAGGGCTCCACTACTTTCCATGAAGACTGCATGCAGGATATGCACCCAAATTTAATGATTCTGCAATTTCCTCTGCTTCTTAGGCTGGCTGCAGCCCCATTTAGAATGTCTGACACTTAAAGCTCCAGTCAGGTATTTTACTAGAGATTAGAAACAATGGAAGAGTAGAAGGAACAGGCAGGAACCCCCTAGCTCCATCACAGTCCTTGCTGCCCTCTAAAAGTTGGAGGGATAACTTCCACAGCAGAATAATTTCTCTGCTTGTATTAGGGTCCCCACTTAATTTAGAACCTTGGACAAAAACCTTGCATTTCATATCACATGTTGATTTTACATGGAGTTAGAACACATTATCATAAACACATTACTGAACTGTAAAATAGCTTTGACTACTGGGCAGCACAGAAACAAACAATTGCCTGAACAGAGAAATAATTTACATATTCATATGTCCATACCTTATTACATCACTTTCTTTCAAAATTGGTGTAGCATAGTGCCCAAGAGTGAGAGCTGGGAAGCTTCCGGGTTGAAATCTGTCCTCAGTCATAAGTTCACTAGGTAATGAATCAGGAATGTTTGGTCCTTCTGTTTGGCCCCTATGCTATGTTTATGTTTCTATGCTATGTTTCTATGTTAATCAAGCCAGTGGTTTGATGCCAGATTGAATGAGTGGATCAATTAAGTAATGCCCTGTATTCTCAACATCTGGCACATAAGCAGTATTAACCATCTTGACAGTGCAGCCTACTCCATTTGGTGAGGAAAAGTAGAGGAGAATTCAGTTTAGAATCAACTCTCTGAAAGGAGCAGAACTAGCTATACAATTAAAAGGATCATTCACTTCATGGATGCTTTGTGTTAAGAGCCTTTAAAACTCACTCTTTATCACAAAGTCAGACCTGGTTGGCCGGCTTACCTTAATAAAATATTTCAGTTAGAAGCCTCTCACCTCACTCTGCCAGGAAGAAAAAAGGAAAGTGGCTGGGGGAAGAGAGAGACCAACTCATGACAGATTCTTCCCACAGGAGGTGGAGCTAGGGCAGGGCAGGGAATGAGACCTTGCAGGACTGTCAACCATCTGTGGGCCAGATCAGGTCCTTGAAACAAAGAAGCATTCTCTAGCTTTTAATGCTTACTTTTTCTATTCTGTGAGCCAAAAGAAATAATAACAGGGAGGTAGTTCTCCATCACCACCTCAAATACAGGTAGCTTTTTTCTGAACAGTTATTTTAGTATTTGAGACCTTTGCAGAAAAATGAAGTAAACATATAAAATACCAACTTTCCAATCAACATTCACTCTACTCTCTAAGCAATCAACACAAGAGAACATGCCTGAAAACTTATAGAGAGAACAAATACGGATCCAATATACTACTAATAAATCATGAGATTCACTGAAGACTAAGAGGTAAGGTCTAACATTTTAAACAAATACTTAAATAGATAATAAGTAGTACATAATAACATAGTTATTCAGACCATAATATATTATGCTAGGCAACAGTAAAGCTTAGGAAAAAGTGTCCACTTAACAAAAGATTTGGCAGACTAACCTGACTTTTACCTAACCTTATGTTTTTTTCTCATTACTATACCATCCCCTATTTTATCCATTTATTCTAGACTTGAAAGAAAAACCGAATACTGGGATAGAATCTGTGTATTTTGCCCTAAGCATAGAAAACAACAGACTTTTAACCAATAAAGAACAATGCAGGTATTTTTCATCAGTGTTTGCTCTGTGCTTCTCTAATATGACTAACATTGTGATATGGCTGAGCATTATGTAAACATAGATATCAGCTGCTAAGTTGACTGAGATGAATAACATGGTTCCTATAAATTACTTACATATACATATCATATGCAGTTTATTTTTATGAGAGGTTGTATTTGTTTTAAGAAAATTTTATAATAAAAGTAATGAAAAACAAAGTAGCAACCTAGTACAGAACTACCTATGTACTCTGAAACAGACTGACCTTCTAGTGTGAAAAGCCAGTTTGTTGCATGAATGCTACTGTTTCCTCCATACACTATGGCTGCTCTCCTTTTATGCAGACTCTGGGAAAACAAGTTGGGAAGCACAACGCTCATTTTTTAATTAAAAAATCAATGTGCACCACTAAGAAGGAAGAATAATTGATATGTGATTGTTAAATAGCACTCCCACTTGTGCTACAACAATTGGTTCAAAAATTGTGAATGAAATTTCAGGAAGTTATTGTTGTCAGAATGCATTCTGCAATCTTAATGCTTTGTAATTGATTAGATATCAAACTGGTCATGATTTACAACACCTACACTAATGCGGAAATATGTATCAGCAGTACATAACAGCAGCAGATTTTAAATCAAGCCATACTATCTTGCAGCCATAACTACTATTGATGTGGACATATGCATACTGAATCACTGGTTGAAATCTACCTCAATTAACTTCTGGCAATCTAGTTTCCTTTTTGGAAGCTAATTTAAAGGTGGGCACTCATGATGGAAGCACGATGGACTGAATGACACTGTCTCTCATGGCCTATTTTTCCTAGAAAACTCCCCTAATACTGAATGTGTAGCTAGGTTTCTCCCTCTGTAATCTTTTGTCCTCATTAGACAGGTTGATGAAGCTCCATTTTGGTAACCTCTAAATTGTCTGAAAATCATTTATTACACTCATTCTTAATTGTTTTTGCACTAACCTAGATCCAGTGCTTTCAAATTTTCAGATATTTTGTCATTTTTTCTCTTCTTTGAAATAAGAATAGTCCAACTAAGGATGAATTAATATTAAGTACAGCAAGACTGTACCAATCCATCAACTTATGGCAGGACACTATTGCTATCTTCATGCTTTGTAGAAGAACTTCACCATTCATTTTGGTAGGTAAGGTAGTTTTGAGTGTCTATTACTTTGTTGTTCTCCATTTAAATGGAGAAATAGGAAGACTGACCTGAAGAAGATTGCTGAATTTAAAAATGTTCACATCTATGGATTGTACAATAAGAATCTAAGAAGAGTCAAGTTGGATGAGTCCAAGAGATCATCACAGTAAATAACCAGCTGCCTTCAGGAAACTGAAGGTAAAACATGAGTACAATAGCAGCATCCTGTTCATGTTCCCCAGTAGCTGGTGGCATGGATGTAATGCCTATGATACTGGAGAACTACACCATGTTTGGCATTGAGTAAAGAGTGATGTAGGTAATGAGATGTCTGATTAAGGCAGGGGTGGGACACCTCAGGCCTAAGTACCAAATCCAGTTCTCTGTTGTTTCTCAGATGGCTATGCCCTGTCCCCAGCCACCAATCTTTTAGAGATTTTCTGGCATTTATGAAATTTACCCCACATTCTAAAAGAATTAAATGCCTCTCCTAAAGCTTTGTTACTGTCTCTAAGAGTGTTAGACTACAATATGCTTCAAGGTAGGGTTTTTTTTTTTTTTTTTTTTGTCTTTGATGCTATCTACTACTGTGGCTGCTGTGAGTGTCTCTGAAATTAAATGTCCCTAGAATAAGACAGATTTCATGAAGATCAGCAAGAAGTAGCTGATACTAGGTATTCTAGCAACATTACACTATACCATGGGTCTCTTGAGGACAGTGTCATAAATAAATATGTACTAAAACATTTGTATCCCCTGAATACTGAAGTCACATTTTCATCTAATGTTCCATCAACATTGTTAGATGTCAAAAATATTGACAAGAGGCTGAAATGTAAATCTGGATTTCTCAGTTGTAAGGTTGACCTGAACCTTGCAGGTTCAAGTTCCTGATAAGAGGAATGCAAGAGATAAGTCATCATTGTAAAAGCAATATTTAAAGGTAGGTTTGTGTTCAAAAATCCATTTTTCCCATAGATACTGTCTGCATTTATCAAATCATGGTAAACCTGTGAAATGGCATTTTACTGTTGCTTATTGGTATTGAATAGATCATTATCATTACTCTTATTTACTTGTATTTTGGTGGCATTCAGTATCTCCAGTCAGGATCAGATCCTCATCATGATATGCAGCATTCCAACATAGGGTGGGCTGAGCAGTAGTGCCTGTTGAGAAAACCATAATGTCAAAGTTGCATTTAGAGGAACTGAACCCTTTTGGAAATGGAAGGCATTTTAAACATGGCAAGGGGCCTCATGGCATCCTGGCATAAAAGATCAAATCACAGCCTTATTCCCCACATGCTTCATTTATTCCAGTGTAGGCCAACACATTAGATTTTGGTTCAAACAGAAAAACAGTGTGCTACTATGTTGGAAACAAAGCATATTGTTTGTGACCTTAGTATTAACAAATAAAAAGAGATTTCCTGCAATGCAATATGCTTGAGGCAAGCTATAAGTTACAACAGTAAGAGATATTCTAAAACAGATGCACAATATTATATTTATTGTACTCCTATGTCCCTCTATCCTTTATGCAAAGAAGACCATGACTATGTTCGGAAAAGGATTTGTGATGAACTCTATCCTTCTTATGATCTTTAAGTCCTTGCCTATACTTAAATGAACTAGCAAAATTCTTTCAGTTGATTAAAACCTGTTCACTATCTAAATGAAAAGAGCATGAAAACATATTTTTGTTCTAAAATAATGTAGGGATGATTAAAAATACAGTGTAAATTGATAAGGGAGAAGTGAATTGGCAAAGCATGTCCTAGTCAGTTGGCTGCTGCTACATTTATTAGAGCATATGACAGTCGTCCTAGCACTGTGAGCTTCCATAAGAATACAATCTGGCAAATATTGGTCCACTTCCATGCTCCTCCTAAACAACTATCAAGGCATCATCAGAGTTCAGCCAATAAAAGGTGGATAGGGATTCTAGCTGATGAGAAGCATAAAAATGATGGGTACCAAATCTCATCTCCAGCCAGTTCAGCATTCCCCACTCTTCTGCCACTTTCCAGTTATGATTCTCCTTGAGATCCTGCCTTTGCTCCATTTATTTCTTCTTAATCACCCTGGTTGGACTTCTTATCTGATGAAAGAATCCCATTAATTTTGTGGGTCTTCCCCAATATTTTCCACAGGCTTCTCTAGTCACAATATTCTAGCTAGGAACTGGCAGTTTTTGGTTAGCACTGTAAGGTACTCCCACCACCTCATTTGAGAACATTCCAAGTAGCTTCAAAGGGCATGCTCAGAGCTCTAAACAACCATGAAACAGACATTGCTTTATATCTGCACCCAGTAATTATGCCTTCCCTTATATTTTTATTCTAGAACAGGTACAGGGGTCCTGAAATGGTTGTTAACTCCCTGCCCCACCACACTAGGATCTCAATTCAGAGATCCCACTTTAAAATAAAAAGAAAAGGATGCAGTTGCTAGATAAAGATTTAAAGCAATCTCCATTTTGGCCTTTACAAAACTCATCTCTGTTTTGATCAATTGAAGCTGGAGTTGCTGTAGATGCTTTCTGACAAAGAGAAAAGGCCTTCTGTGTACGATTGGATCACATTTTAACTTTTATTCTGCTGCACACTCACAAAGAATACAGTTATTTTTCAGTGGAAGTGTATCTAAACTAACCTAACTTTGTGCCCCAAAGTTACAGTCCAATTTTAGTCAATGTTTCAGAGGAATGGGAGACAGGAAAATATGTCTACACTGCTTGGACAACCAGGCAGCTCCTCTAATATATCAGCAAAATGGTACTGATCATTGTGACTTCACACAGCCATGTAGGGGGCAGATGTAAAGGCAAAGTGAGTCACTTCCTTGACAAACATCCAATTTCATTCCCAAATTATTTGCTGGCTGACACTGGGGTCAATCCATGTTTTAAGACCTGAGAACTGCTTTAACAGAACCTGGCAAGTTCATTTCTTGATCTTAACCATATTTATTGTTAATGACCCCAAAATTTTACCAGTTAAGTCACAATTCATGTACATAAGCCCCAGCGGCACATCTACAAGACTAAACAATTAGAGACATAGTCAGTATTAAAAATCATCAGGCACTTCCTAATTTGTAGTACTAATATCTCCAGACAATCTTGAAACTGTTGGATCACTGACTCAACAATGTCAAAACTCACAAATCCATTGATCTGTATGTGCCTTCTGAATTAGTATTTTTCCTCAATTCAAAAAATTCCTTATCTTACCATCAGTGATGAGCTAATCGGAAAGCAGTAACTGAAACAGGGGCTTGTATTAGTGATTGTGTCATACATACGGGATACCTTTTAGACGCAATGGTGAAAAATACATGCGAATGGGATGGAATATAATGTCTAGGCTATAAATACTGGAAAACACAACAAATGACATGCTGCAAAAGCCAGATTAAAGGGAAAGTATGTTACTAAAACCAAAAGTCACACGTAATCTCTAGCCTAGAAACAATTGTAGCAAGGAAAGTAGCTTTAACCAGAGTCCAACATCTGGCAAACATCACTAGAGAAGTAGAGCAGAGGTTAAGAACAGATCTCTGAGTTCATCACATCAGTGTGACTGTAAGGGTGATTAAATTGTGCAAGTAAATTGCTAAAACAGAACTGACTGGTTGGTGTTGCATCACCAATGCCTACCAAAACATGTTCAGTTGATCCAAACCCCCATGTTCTCACCTCTAGATGTCTGTACTTTATTTTTAGCTTTTGGTAGTCATGCAGTATTTTTACAGCTGTATACTAGATATCATTCCTAGTGTTCCCTTTTCTTGAACTATTTTATATATTCCTTTTGATGTGTGATCTGGAGGAATGATTTTCTCAACTCAAAAGCTAAGGATGTGCATGGTGCACTTTTCTTCCACAATACTATGCTGGCAGCTACAATGTATTGCTATTAGCACACATACAATGTTTAAAGGGCAATCCTGTGTATGTTTAGACAGAAAAAGGTGTATAGCTCCCAGCATAGGTTGTATCCTTACTGACTGGTTTGCATAGTATTGTCTTAAAGTGTTAGGTACTTAAACGTGCATCAATTTCAGTTGAAAAAAGAAGGTTATAAGCCTGGTTCTGTTTCAAGCATGGTGCACAAATTAATGTTAAAAAGGTTGAAACATAAGGAAGAATCAACATGAAGCTTTGCAGAGAACCAGATCAAACATGAGCAAAAATGATATGGGGGAGAGAGAGAGAATTATATGGTTTGCTAATGAGTATATATCTGAGGGGTTTTTAAAAATAATATCAGGAATAACCTGGTTTATAAATCAGAAAATGGGGATGTAGGTGGTTTAGTTCCTTTGGCAGAGTGTCAATTAGGTCATATAGTTTTGCCTCACTGTATTACAGTATGATAATTAACCATGATATCACCCATGCTTGGATTTTTTTTTCATATATTAAGGTTTTGTCTAGTTGTTAATTTAATAAAGCTGTAAAGACTACTTACACAAATCAGATCTGGTTAAATCTTTATATAATGACTTCATTGTGACCAAGCAAACTTTTCAGCATTACAAAAAGCCAGACAGGAAGCAGGAGCATGAGGAAAAAATTAAGAATCCACAACACAATATGTTATTTTGTTAATTACTTGCTTTTTTGTCACTTTGGGACCTTGCTCCATTAAAACCATAAACTTAGTAAAACATGAAGTCTTCTGATGATTATTAATACCAACATAATTCATTCCTTAATTACAATGAAAAGCCAAACTAAACAATTTGAAGGATATTCATGATTACTAATATTTTCAGGTATTTTCCACCCTCTACACCTGCATTCCCATGTTTCCTATCTTACACAGAGTACTTAAGACTAATAGCATTAAGTTCAAAGCAAACTTGTATTGAACACAGTCAGTGTTTGTCTGTCTCTCCATTTATTTCTCTTGGAGTGACACAGATGAGGAGCTGTTCACTTTCATACAAATAGAAAGAAACACTGGTTGGTAATCAATCCTTCCTAAATAAATAAATAAATAATAAAATGCCTCTTTATTTTGTTGTTGCATTTAGGATACGGAATAAGGAGGAACCCATACCTTACTGTTGTTTTCCCCTATTATTCTATTTCCATTACACATTATACGGAGAGCCCTAGATTTTCAAATCTCATCTGTGCTCTTAATTGCTCTGTTCGTGTGGAATTTGTCAGCCTTGTAACTGACAGACTTTTGGAATAAAAGAAGGAAAAGCTGTCCATTGTAGAGTTGGTTTTCCAACTATCACACGTATAATAATCCTTAAAATCTTTTAGTGAATGATATCTAAACTAGCAAAACTGCTTCAACCCCATTCACAAGACCAGAGTTCCTTGTGGAAAAAGCAAGGATAATAAATATTCTCACTGTGAATCTTCTGCTCTTTTCCAATGACATCTTCATTCACTGTCTTCACTTTCAGAAAATTTAAAACGCATAGAACATTAAATAAAGTATTATTTCAAGGTAGAATTTCACATGCTTCCAGTGAATAGAAAAGTCTTCTTTCATTGGAAAAATAAATTTCAGCATTTACAAGTTGTCTTTACATTCATAAAAGGATATGCTATCAAAGGATCCCTGGAATAAATGTTTCTGCAAGTTTGTGTGTATAGCCACATGGAGCAGAACAATTACAAGCTGATAAAGAGATATTCTAAAGCTATATTCTTTTAATACAGTGGATTAGAAGCAAGAATTCTCTAGCTGTGATTCTTGTCACAACAGCAAGATCCCCATTATGGGCGAGATACATTACATATGTACAATCAACTGAGTCTTGCTTGGCGTTTGAATTTATCCAACGTAAATATCAGGATTGGGTGGTTTTTCACCACCAATGAAACACCTTGCAACAAATACTAACATAGTTCACAAATAATGCACAGAATAAAACCTGCATGCAACTTTCAAAGGTAATTCACATAAAAGCTTTATTTTGTGAAGCATTTAACATCTCTGTGTACTATAGAAAGCTGGGGAAAATGTACCCCATTCACCAATTTTCAAGAATATAGAAAACCTGACAAAAGTAATCTGAAGTTAATAGTAATGAATTATATAAATCTCCTGAACAGAAAAAAATAACATTTATAGTTAAAGGAAAAAAGAATGACCAAACCTATCTCAATTAAACAGTAGATTTATTAATGTTTTAAT